CCCCAAAACCCCAAAACCCCAAAACCCCAAAACCCCAAAACCCCGACAAAATAAAATTCAAATAAATTTAAACTGAGCTTTAGAAGGTCTTAAAGGTCTTCATATGGGTGAAGTAGACAAGCGACGCTTGGACGTCCTCTACATATTCTTGATATTCGTCATACCTTGTGTTCTCATAATCTAGGTTTGGGGATTTAAACATTGTGCAGAATATAGTACCTCTTCTTCGCTTGGAGATCACGTTAATATCTCCATTCATCTTCTGCATGATCTTTTTACAAACAGTCAAACCAAGGCCACACCCTTTCTTATTCCTATGGTGGGTTTTGCTGATTTTCCCGAATAATTTAAACAGCTTTTCTTGATCTTGAGGGGCGATGCCATCTCCATCATCGGTCACACTGAGGAAGACGCTATCACCTCCATATATGTTAGCACCTTGGATCAGAGATTTAGCAGCAACTGTTGGGTCGAAAGGTGGGAGAGCATTCTCTGCTTGCCTCTCTTTTGTCTCTTCTCGACTGTACTCAGAGTCAGATCCACCGAAGAGCTGGAAAACGTCCACAATAATAGATGAATTACAGAACTTTATAGCATTCGAGACTAGATTAATGATAACCTGTCTCAGCCTATCTTTATCGGAGAGGACATTCACTAAGTTAAATCTAGGGGCAATGTTCACCTGGAATTTGATTCTTCTGTGCTTCATCTCTAGTTCGAATATTTCACTGACTTCATTGATGATTTCTGCAATTCTAAATTCTTCGTTATTAAGCTGGAATGCGCTTCCTTCGATCCTACCAAGGTCAAGGATGTCCTCCACATATGAGTTTAGAAGTAGGCAGGAGTTCTTGCTGACTCTGACGAACTTCTCAATCCTTGGATCCTGGTTCATTTCAATCAAAAGGAGGTTACCCTTAATAGCATTCAGAGGATTTCTGAATTCATGGGCAACACTTGAAAGCATCAATCTCTGGTACTCTCTCAGGGTCTTCTCATGCTTTAATTTCTCATTGACGGTATTGTCAATGAATATATGCAAGAAAGAAACTATTTTTTCAACATTTTCTTCAATATTAGCCTCTCTGTGCCACTTTATTTCCCTTGTTTTAACAGAGTAATGCTTTTTGATATATTCATCATAATTCTCCTTTCGATCTTCTCTCTTGAATTCAAGCCTGTTGACTGGCAACTGAGTATCACCTGGTTTAGAATAGAAAGGAGCAAAAGAAATAGCCTTGCTTTCATTAATCAGGTTGTTGCTATTAAGAGCCTTGATTCTCTCCTCTTCCAGGAACACATCGAGAGGGACTGATTTATCAACAATTTCCTCAGAGATTTGGACGATTTCTTCATCCCTGAAGAAGCACTCATTTGTAAATTCAGAGCTGCCTCGGATCAATGCCTCTTCTGTTAAAGCATCATTCGTAAAAGCATAGTCAACTTCTCCATGAGAGTTCTTTTGTGAGATCACAATCCTTTCAGGGAAAGATTTTAGGATGATCAAAAATCTCTTGATCATCTCTTTTTGCATTTCCGTCAACAAAAAGTCCTTCTTTGAGTGAATGTTAAACAAGTTGCATGATATAGTGAAATGGAATAGCCCGCAGAATAATCCTGGTAGTAGTACTCCTGAAATTTCATCATAGCTTAGATAAACTCTTAAGAAGGCATATGTGTGTGATAAAAACACGAAAATTGGTCAGATCCATATATCCACAGTGAGGGTAATGCTCATCACGAATTCGACTGATCCAAGTACAATAAATCCTTCATATAGCTTGTACTTTTCGTAAACAACAGTGATCTCCGCCATGTAGATACCAAAAGCTGTAAATAGCCAAATTCCTCCAAATCTGGATACAAAGTCTGATCTTGGGACTAATCTCGAGAGGACCTCTACAGATAAGAAAAGGAAGACAGCTCCTGCCATAGAGACAACATTCTCATCGGTAACGAGCTCATTCCAAAAGATCTCAACAAGGATTACACAAGTACATAATGTTTGTAAAGGATACTTAATAAAAACCCAGTTCTCTCTCACCTTCTCTATCTTAAACTGCAAGTACTTATCGTGCACCTTCGGGTCTGAAAACTTAATATGCTTAATATTCTTAGGATCTAGCTCTTTTTCAAAATTTAGATACATTTTTAACTTAATAAAATTTTATAATCTCAAGTCTCTCAGCTACTTATGGGGTTTTGGGGTTTTGGGGTTTTGGGGTTTTGGGG